GTAATTTCAAACAATTATTTTGTAATCTGTGTTTACCGTTATATGTCTGTTTCGCTGTCTCTAATCTTGCTCTTCGATCATTATACTGACTCTCACTCAAGATTTCCTCATGGACTTGAGCTCCTGTTTAGCAGGGCTTTATATTTGTAATTTCTAAATGGGCTTTGTTGAGGGTCCATTCTTCCAGAGGGTATAAACCCAGAAATGTTTTTTTGTTAAATATTCTCTTTGGAATTTTCTTGAACTTGTCAATGGTATCAATCAAAACCCAAACCTGTGTAATATTTTCAGGAGAAGCTTTTAAATTCTTGTCCCTGAAATCCCAAGACTCTAAGCTTAGGTCAATAAACATCACAGAGATCCGAAAGATCAGTAAATCCATATTAGTCATTTCTACTTTTGCTTCAGTTTTGGTCATTGAAAATTCTCTTAATATATTTCTTTCAGTTTTGAATTTCAAAGAATACTTATTATGCTTTGTCCCATTTTTCAAAAAAAATATAATGAGATTGTTGTTCGTTTATAATATTTGATGCATCTTTTTGACTGAAATGGAGCTACTTTAATTTGTGCCTTTATTTTAGCTCTGTAAGTAAAGATAAAGAACTACAACTATCTATGACTGAAGTCAGAGTTTTGTTCAGGAAAAAAAGAGTAAGACCTCATGTTTAGCCTTCCATTTATTTGTGTGTTTTTTACAAAGAAAGTATTCTGGGATGGTACATTTTATGGACTATATATACTTAGGCTCAGTCATACCAGTTCTCTTTCATTTTCATTTTCTTTCCCTATACCATTCATCTTCTGCTACTTCAGCCCGAGCCCTGGATTTGCTCATGACTGATATGAGAAAAGAAGTTTTGGTATTAAGAAAAGAAAGAGAAATCTGATAAAATTAGAAAAGAAGAGAATTCCTCTGACCACTCTGTATATATCTGTATCTGTACATGTGTATGTGTGTGTGCATGTGTGTGTGAGGACAAAAGAGAGATGTATATGAAACATATATATTATATATGCATGTATGTATTTCAATGAAATTATAAGAACTCGAGCATGTCATTGCTAAAATAATTTTCTATGCCGAGAGTCGGTACCTATTTGCATTTGTTTTTTATAATTATTTCCATAATAGGTTCTACAGGTAAATATGGAAATAGCTGGCTTATTCCTACCACCTGCCTAGTACAGATATACAAAGAAGGCAATAATACATATTTAATTTCTTCTTCACTTTATTTTCTAAAAAAATTATAACAGAATGATATCCAATTTAGTATTCTGTTCCTGCATTCAAACACCATGATTCTTTAATAGAAAATTGACACCCTTTATGCAAATTAATGGTCAGATACAAGGAGGTGAATGGCTAATTGTAACTGCTATGTGAACAATTTGCATATGAAAGGTCCTCAGAAAACTTTGAAGAGAAGATTTTTGTAAGTGCATGTGCTATCCATAAATCATTTTATTTGGGATGACTCCATTTCCACACTTGTGCCAGCATCTCTGGAATCAAAATAAAGCTCCAAACTTTTTCTTTTGTTTTGTTTTGTTTTTAATATTTTTATGATTTTTAAAGACAGAGGAAGGGAGAAGGAGAGAGAAAAACAGATGTTACCAACCACGTTGTGCCACACCATCCAGGGCTAAAGCTTCAAAGTTTTTTTGTTTGTTTGTTTTTTGCTGTGATTGTATGTTTAATGAATCATACATAAGACTTTATAAAACATATAAATATCATTTAAAGAACAATAATAAAATAATAAAAATTGGTGTGTTTACCACTCAAGTTAAAAATAGAACCTGCCATATCTAAAAAGACCCCCTAATTGCTCAGCTCCAAAATACTTTCCTTCCTCACCATCCACAAATAACCACTATCTTGGTTTCTCCATTAATCTTTTCTTTAGTTTCGCCATATATATTCCTGAATAATGCATTGTTTAGTTTTAGAAAGCTGAGTAGCAAACTGAAGCCTAGCTGTGTAAAAAAGGGCAATGTTGTCACATCTAAATCAAAGCTTTTAGGAGAAGATAAACAGATTCTCCTGATCAAAGTTTTTGATAGAATCTTCTTTCTTTTCTCTCAGTCCTTTAGTTATCCATTGAATAAGTTATATGTTTTATATGGTAGGATTTCCATATTTTATGGATGCCATTCTCAGAACCTAATTAAAATGCAAAAGAAGAAAAAGGCATGAAAAAAATATTTGGCAAAAAAAAAGAAGAAAATTTGGATTGATCAAGATAGTGAATTAGATGGATGAACATGGAACATGTTAGAAATTATAAATCATTGAAAATACGATTTACTAGAACTAGAGGGTTTGACTAGTCCTGTTCTTTGGCAATTCCAATCACATGCAAGTAAAACTCCATTTAAATGTCCCCAGAACATGTCCCTGCTTAACATTTCTCTAATTGGAATATCTTTGTTACATATTGGTTGCCTATTGAGTGAAAAGAGGACACTACCATTTGGAAGTCACACATCCCCGAAATCCCTGGCCCAGCTATATATGCATTACCTCTGGCGCTCACGTACAGTGACAAATTCCAGGGTGCTTGCCACACGACTGTTTTGTTTCCTCATATGCCAGTTCCAGCCCCAGCAAATTAGTATGTAAAGTCCTCACGCTTTTTTAAGAAAACTCAAAGTCATGTATAGATAATTGTCAGGTACTAATAATTACATCAAAAATTAATCCAATTTTACTAATATTTCAACAGATGTTTCCATAAAGATAGCTGATTACTGTTATTAAACCACTTCGGGAACTTTGATATTTGTAGAAGAAAGTGTCCATCAATGACCTCATTGTAGACTCAAGACTATCAACGCATGTTAAATTACTATCATTCTCCTTTAAGGGAATCACTGAATCAAAATGTTTTACAAGTTGTATTTTTCTTAATTGTGTGGTAGATTCATGTTTTTCCTGTGAGAAGTATAGGGCCTGGAATGAAGAACACATAATCCAAGAGGCTAAAGGTTGAAATATCACATTCTTGGTTTAGGTACAAGGAATCTAATAAAGTTCTCCCTCTCACCAATTTAAGAAACATGACTTTTATCTTCAATATCCATATTAAAATCATTATAGCTGTTATTTAAAATATTATTTAACTGAATAATAATATCTCTTAATATTTAATATGTTACATGAAAATGTTAAGAAAGTACTAAATAAAATGGATGAATATATCTATTCCCAATTCACAGTCATCTGAGAAAAAATTTTAAGCCTAAAGTGATTGTGGGCCCAGAAAGAGAATTGAGGATGAGATGTGAGTGTATAACACACCTGCATACTTCATATTGGCAGAGTCTGATCTGACATAGTTAACTTGGCTGGGAGTACAAAATTGCCAAGGCAGTTATAATTTTATTCATATAAGAAGATAGATTCTCTTGTTCTAAGATCATGCTGCTAACTCCCCTCTTGCTGGGGTGACCGTGTTAATGGTTCAAGGCAAACATGTCACTTTTCTTCAAAACAAGAATTTCAAACACATGCTCTACTAATAGAGATCCAGTAAGTTGCATCTTTCCATGCAACATTCAAGCCTACAAAACAAACAAAAAAACCCCAAAAACTTAAATCTAAAAAAAAGTATCCCCATATGATACAAAAATATTTTAAGAACTTGCCTAAAAAGTTAATTATCAACAGAAGACATTTTCCACTTCAGTTCTTTAATTTATTATTCATGAAACCAAAAATGTTTCATTCATAATGGATATTACTATTTCTTTAAAATTCTAGCTTTATTTAGCAGAAACAGGTGTGATTCAACTATGCTGTTCTCTTAGACTTAAAAGATGGTAGATGAACATAAAGAAAATGTACAAAACACATTATCTCTACATTAAATGCATTGATCCCTTGAGCTCAACCAGTATCTTTTGGACATCTCCCATGCCAAAGGCATAGCAGGCAGTCTCCTTCATAGGCAAAAATGAACAGGGTCAAGGCATAAAAACTCATGTCTATAGGATAGAATCTGATGAGTAGTGTAGTAGAGGTACAAAATATGGTGGGGACATCTAGAAAGAAAAGAGTAATTCCTTCTCTGGATATCAAGATGGTTTCATTGAGGAGATGTTAATTGATCTGGCCCTAAGGAATGGGTAGAAAGGAAATTAAGGCAGAGAAAAAAGGGTTAACCAAAATATTGTTTAAAAAAGAGAATGTGGGCCAGGGTCAGTGAGGCTTAGTTGGTTAGGGAGTCATCCAATACCCCAAAAGGTGGCGGGTTTCATTCCCCGTCAGGGCACATACTGAGGTTGCAGTTTCAATCCCTGGTTGGGCAAGTATGGAAGGCAACCAATGGACGTTTCTCTCTCTCCCTCTCTGTTTCTCTCTCTAAAATCAATAAAGTTCTTTTAAAAGAGAGAGAGTGTGTGTGTTTAAGATATGTTGTGAGTGTAGGGCATAAGAGAAAACAGTTGGAGATAAATTTGAAAGGTTGAATGAGGATGCATTGGAAAATTATACAAGATAATCTTAGAAAGGTAGAATAGAAGCAGCTGACTGAAGCCACTGAACACTATGCAAAATACTTTAGCTTTTTTTGTATAGACGAGAGAAAGAATTTTTGAACTCAGTAGGTGATTTACATGGCATCATCAGAACTGTATATTAGGATAAGTATTTCACAGTTGTGTTCATGCCAGGACCAACAGTGGCTCTGTATTTCTGCCTGCTTTATAGACTTCAGCATTGGAAGAAAATATTGGTATAATATATGCATATGCCAGTATGCATATCTAAAAGATTTTGAAATAAACAACCAGTTGTCTAATTTGAATCTAACATGGTGGGCATGAAGCACTTTGATTTAAAATACTAAATCGTTGAGATAAAACAAGGTATTTTTATTGCTTATTTAATTTTGCTTCTGTAGATATATTCACAAAATGTGTTTAAAGACAATTTGAATGTTTTCAGTGATTGTCTGATTAAAATATCAAAATAACATTTTTTGCTATTTCAGATGATGGTGCCTGTCAATTAGCTGAACAATTGTGGTGAGTTTTGTTTTTCTCTTCTCAAATCTGCATAGGATGTTGTTTCCTTCTAAGATTTGATAGGATTTATATTGCCTGCAAAACCTATAAAAATGTGAACACTTAAATGGACTGAAAGTCAGGCATGTCTTAAAGTAGGCTTCAGTTTTTCCAGGGATGTAACTCTTTCCTTTTTTCTTTCTTTTTTTCTTTTTCTTTCGTTTTTCTGAACTGAGCCAAAATTGAAAATTAGCAAGTCTCTTGTACATATTCACCAGGAGTCTAGGAAGAGCCACTGTTTTCCAAAAGTTCTTCATGTCACATGCACCATCTGCTTGCCCAGGGATGACCCTGAGAAAATACCCAAATGGTCACACCATCAAAGGCAGCACAGCATCTTTTTAAGTAATTTAAAGTTGTTTAGAAGTTTAGCAAGAGGAAGCAAATGTTTCTCTTTGCTCCCCTCATTTTGTAGAGGTGTTAGCAATCATGGTCATGATGTACATCCAGGCTGATTTTCACTTTCTAATTTCATAGATGATTAAATTCAACTTTATCTTAATTGAATTATCATATTGGGAAGCAGAAATTTGAAGACAGTTTACTTGTTATGAATGTGCTGTGTTTCCCCTCCTTTGGGGGACTTCTATTGGGTAATTTTTCATATGGGAGAAGAAACCACATTGTTAAATATTGTGGAAAATCATAATAATAGAAGTAATAAAATATATGCTGCAATGTATGGAAGGAAGGAAGGAAGGAAGGAAGGAAGGAAGGAAGGAAGGAAGGAAGGAA